AGGCGAATCCGAGAACCAACTAATTAAATTGGTGTGGCCTTAGTACAACATACTAACCAATGGAAGCCATGAAGACAACACCCAACCCGATGGCCAATGGTCCGCCCATGTTCAGGAACTTCTCACTGGGAGCACACACCGCAACAGCTGACAGACCTGGAACACAACAACATTAAGTGTCTTTATGTTGCTTGTACTTTGGATTTTAATGCAAGATGGTTTACAGTTGCCTGCTTTTCTGGTCCAAGAAATGCGTAGTGTCTGTAGAAAAGTCTAAAATGGCTTATTAATACAAGTCAATATACATATACTAGTAAAAAGCTATGAGTACATACTATGTGAAAACTCAATGTTCTGAAAGACTGAAACATATAAAGTAGCCACTTTGCCTTGTGCATGGTACCACTTGTGGTACAACTTTAGGTATTGAGAGTGGAAAAATACAAAATTTGAAAAATTGGCCCAAGTGCAACACTCTGGTACACCCTGGTCTCATCCTCCCCACTGGCAGGGGCAGCGGCTCCGAATTCCTTCTCCACCCCTACCCCCTCGCCGAATAACATGGCATCTTCTACTCTACGACCCGATTCCAGGGACACGCTCTCAGCCAATCACGTATCACAGAGAAAATCTTCAACGCACTTTACATTAATATTTATGAGATGCGCTAGCTATCGGAACCAATCATGTCGGCTATTCAGTGACAAATAAAAACAAACATGGCGTCGTCTCGGGAAGAGAACTTTTGCGATGCAGGCCGCTGCGGGCGTCGGCGGGGCGCTAGCATGTGCTGGAGGCTGCGCGCGGATCCCGCCGAGCACGGGGAAGGTGTTAACTCGGTGACTTTGCCCCGCACGGCCTCCCCAACGCGTTAACGGGCTCGTCACCGGGCGGCGGCGGAGTCGCCGGCGGGGAGGGTGACGTCCCTTCGCCGCCCAAGTCAGAAATGGGGTCATGCCAAATAAGGCAAGCTCATGAATATTAATATTCCTGGGGTCGTAGAGTAGAAGATGCCATGTTATACGGCAGGGGTAGGGGTGGAGAAGGAATTCGGAGCCGCTGCCCCTGCCATGGGAGGATGCCTGGTCTTGAAATAGCTAACAGGCGTAAATAACTCTTTACAGCTTTGTTCCAGTCAACAATTATCAAATATTATTACTTTACATCCACTGCAAGATCAGTTCATGGTTTAAAAAAGTTAAGAGCTTGGTAACAATTCTTCACAAGAACTAATTTCATCTACAATACATTGTATGTCTTACACTTGGTTGTACATGTAGGTTTAAAGGAATCATCCTTCCTTCTTTCCATTGTTTAACTGGATTTTGCCCCTTATGACGGACAAAATTTTGCCCAATCCGTCATCATTGACGGACAAAAATCTGCCCCTCAGCAAAATTTGCCCCTCAAAATGCAGGAAATATAAGTGATTCAGAGTCAAATTTCAAAGATTGTCTCCCCTCTGGAGTGATGCCTTGCACCTTTGATGATCAACATGATGTTACGTAAAGCAAAATTGAGACGAAGGAAAAAAAAATATCAGGCTGGCTAGAACTCTGCTACATACTAGTAGTTGCTACCATACTGTCATTAGATACATTGTACAAATACAACTTGAACCAATACTCAATAACAAGACATCGCAATAACCTCAACAGGAGCACTATTAGCTCATGAAAACCTACCTACCGTTTAGTTATTTAGTTCGGTGGTCTCTCAGTCACGGTAAGTCATGTACGTCATAAGAACTAATGGTTGGAATGCTTGCTAAGCTTACATTTGTGTTGACACAATTACCAATGACTATGTACAAGATTGGCAGCAGAGATAGGCATGCGTACTTCCCTGACCCAAACCACGGGCTTTTTGGAGTGAGCAAACAGCTGGATACTCATTACCCTTTTAGTGGTCCGATTGATTCATTTTTTCATCAAGTACAATTGGTGGCGCTTTAAAAAAAGTGAGATACTTGTCAAGTCCCAGTACTTGATGGAAATGCAGATACATGTACAGAGAAGAGAACAACAACAGAAGAGTGAGCTAGCTATAGGTTAACACTGTGTTGGGTACAATAATTTGTTTTCAAATTACATGTATATGAATTCACCTTTCACAAGTGAAATCTTTGTTGATCATTTGACTGACACATTTAAATCAAGGCAAATTAAAGTATTATATTAAGTAAGACATGTATGCATTGTTCAACAGATTCAAGTGCTTGTAGTAGTAGTACAGTTTCTAATTGTGCTATTTGGTATAATAGACTACAGTTCATTCAATGGTCATTGCAGAGACAGGACTAGTTCATCATTTAGTTCCAGTCGGACATTGGTAGTGTGTAGAGTTGCGAAGTTGCCTGCCATGTTGCTGTCCACGGGTAGGGGGCAGCCACGTGGAGAAATGAAGCAACCATTATAGTTTCACGGCAAAGTCAGGACACAGTTGCGGCGCCGATCACATATCGCTTTTTTTTCTTGGACGTCAAAATATTACATTATTTTACTACTTTAACAACTGCATATGAGCAGGTATATTTTGGATTTCAAAGACGTTTGTAACAGATGATGTAGCATTAAAATACCTGCTAAGCTGGAAAGACTTGAATGTGTGTTTTGTCCTCAGCATGAATGGAACAATGGGCAAAGAGTTTAATTGAACTACAATGTATAACTTTCAGGCACCAAATATCACCACAGGGTACTTTAACCAATCACAGCCTGACAGTTAATTAGATTATTGTCCTGTTCAGGTCACCAAAATGACCTCTGACCAAGGTCAAAGATAAGCTAAAAATAACTATGGCTGATTCAACCTACATTTAGGACAACATAATATGCTTTTTTTGCTGTCATTAGAGAACTTTGAGTACTAAGGAAGATGGACCATGAAACATAAATCTCCCCAAGATGTCTTCAAGTGAAGTTGGCCAACTAGCAATAAAAAAACATTTCACAACAGGTGTCACACTAGAGCTGTGTACCAGTACTCTGTAAAATTATACCGTATAGTTTCAAAATACCTAATCACTCAGTACTGGCACTGTACCTAAGTAATTTCACATAAATTATATGCCTATTTGTGACCTAAAATGTGTAAATAGCTGGTTCCCCATGGGTCCCAAAGTAAGGACAGCCTTCGTGTTACAGACTGACAGTGTTAACTACCCTGAAAGATCTGTTCCATATTAGTTATGCTTCCTCTAGATGTCACTTTGGTCAGGTACTGTGTTGCAGGGTTGGAGATGAAAACTAAAACATCTTAGTTTTACCCATATTTTGTATAGGAATTCTCCATAAACAAAAACTTACACTTGACTGTCAAGTTTATTCATGTTTATGTCATTATGAAAGGAGTTCAGAAGAACAATTGTTAATTGTTGAATCACTCAGGTACAGTTTCAGGTCTGCACCTGTACCTAAACCCGTGTACCTGTACCTGTGCCTGTACCTAAAATTTGTACCATTAGGTAGGGACAGCAAACCACCCTCTGTGGTACAGGAAAATTTTGTCACATACATAAGCCCTGACCTGTCTACATTCCTAAAAAGATTTACATAATGAGCAAACACACCAGTCCTTGAACATATCTGAAAATGTACGTATGTGTCCTTTTTAACCGCAATTTGCAAACACTTCAAAGTCAAAGGTAAACTTGGACTTATGGACCCAACTCAGGTTGATGGGTTAAGTTTAAGTGTGAATTTTATTTGTTGAGGTACCCTTTTGGTACCAAATTTGCAGTGGTTTACTCACTAGTAGTATGTGGTTAGGTTGATCACCATGAATGGATAAAGTTAAACAGCACCATCTGTAGACTTGGTATGGAACTGCAGGCAATAATGTTTCATGAGGAAAGGATCTGTATAAGCATGTTAGGAAGACACTTTTAAATATATTATATCATGTACAAATATAGACGTCATCAATGAAGTATGTATTAAAGTATATTTCAAAATGTTTCAAAAAGAGAGAAGAAGCCATTAGAACTTAGATCAATCTCACTTATATATATATTTCTTTTTTTTTTATTCTATTTTTAGCATTGTATACCTTAGACCTAATGTTAGCCTTTCTTTATTACTATTGTTGTAGTACTCTCTAGTACATTGTACTTTGTACATCTGTGCATTTATCCCCCCGGGGAATGAACATGCAATAAAGTTTCAATAAAGTTTCATTATGCTTCTGTCCAATGCTCACAAATCTATGTGAATAGAATAAAAATAAATAAATTTAGTAGAGGTACGCTTGTGCTATGCAGCCAAACCCAGCTTACCTCCCACGATCCCAGCAGTGTACCAGGCAGCTCGCATGAGGATGGGTCCTCCGATGAAACACAGCGGCGCGACCACGGCCCCCATCACTGCCGCGTGTGTCAGCCAGGCCAGCTGCTTAGCCCCGAAGCCGGGGGAGTAGGGAATGGAGTGGGTGATCATGTTGGTTCCGATGATCGCTGCGAAAGTGGCTCCGATGGCCTGGAACAAGAAACAGGGATCGAAATTCAGTTTTGGGAACAGGTGCACCTGTGCATCCAACATAAAAAATTGGGTGCACAAAAATTATTTTGGGTGCACCATGAAATATAAAATACATAATAATAACTAATTATGTTTCATTTCTAAAGAATTTAATATTTCTCATTTTTCTGACACTTGAATACACTACTATACATTTAACATCTTTACATTCATAAACCTTCAAAAATATTTGGATGCACTGGTGCACCCACAGAAAAACAACTGGGTGCACAGCTTTAAATTTGGGTGCATTAACTTAATGCACCCAAATGCATGACTTGTGCACCTTAATGATTAAGGTGCACAAGTCATGCACCCGGTATTTCAAGTCCTGAAATTATTATGGAAGTGAAAGAAGATTTGGAACAAACCAAGTGTTCATTTTCCACATACTGACTGTGTGCTAGCCAGCATCTGTTTTTCCACCATTTACAATTATTTATTGTTATGTCCAACAATGGACAACCAAGGTATAAGGTATAAGGTTATTAGCATTTTGTTACAATAATCATACTTGTGTATTCTGTTGGTATTTATTATTTCTTGTTATGCCCTCTTGTTATTTAGATTATCTTAATTTGGTCAGGGATCATAAAAGGATACTCCTGTTTCCCTTGGCCATTTATGTAATAACTATGTGTAATAAAGCTGAAATAAATAAGCAAAAGTTGGACATGAGGTTTACCAGCCAGGAGTTCTTAGCGACCAGGTTGAGCATGGCGGGGCTCCTGAAGACCGCGGCGGCCGTCGCTGCCGTCACCACGATCCCCCCGCCGAAGTACATGTAGGTGTCCCTGATCCGCGCCTTCACATAGTCCTGCCACATCCTGGGGAACATTACAGGATGGATTTTATGAAGGCATTCATTTCAATCAGACATAGGGAAAAATATTTTGTGTTTCCAGGCTGACCCTAGAAAAAAAACTGCAGAGCCTTTCCTTTTGTGGATCCCTGCAAGGGAAATAAATTTTTAAGCTGATTGACCTTTTCTAGCTCCATGGGAGTATGGCGGTATGAGACACCTCAATGTGGCTTGTTTTGGGGTACTCTTAAAATCTAATGTGCTAAGAAATTGTAGTAATGTCAATATCAGACAGATTTCTTCACACAGAATATTTTCTACTTTGCTGTCCTGAAATTGCATTGGATGCCTTCTTTCTGAAAAAATTCCAAGAACCAACAAATCAAATTGGTGTGACCTTACTGTTCCAATACTTACACAGACTTCTCCAGTGCCCCTGGCTCACTGGACAGTCCCAGTCCATAGTAACACAGAACTACCACCAATACTTACACAGACTTCTCCAGTGCCCCTGGCTCACTGGACAGTCCCAGTCCATAGTAACACAGAACTACCACCAATACTTACACAGACTTCTCCAGTGCCCCTGGCTCACTGGACAGTCCCAGTCCATAGTAACACAGAACTACCACCAATACTTACACAGACTTCTCCAA